CATCCGATTTCCGTTCTATATGAGAGAAACAACTGTAATAACGGAATGATCGAGCACGAAATGGTCACAGAGAACATCCCAGTTGCGTGTGTCTGCACGGCCCGCCGATTTTTCTAATTAAATTCATTGCAATATATTTATTTTCTGAGCGGTATTATCACATGTACATATAATTACGAACTTGTTAAGGTGACTAAAATGACGTGGTAGTGGATTTATCAGATTTTAGAAATCAGAAATTTGAGAGATTTTGCAACCTTACAAATACGATAACGAATACGAATACGTCATTATCATTATCGTCATTCGTGACTACAGCATTCTTGACAATATGTTGTACCAGCTGAATATGATCCTCTACTTATGCAAAAGGCATCAATCAACTACGTTGTGACTTATATACTGTGGGGGTAAGGGTTGTCGAAAGGTTTGATGACGTAACCGTATTTGTTATTGTTTTCGTAAGCTTGAAAAAACTAACTTTGTTTAAGAAACTCAGCTGATACTCAGCCATTAGTATGACAATGACAATTATGTAATCAATTTTACTTATTAAAATACGATACTATTTTTATAGTAACAGCAGTATATGATTATATCATAACGGTTAATGTACACAGTTGTATGTGGATTTTAGCGGATTTCTCTAAAAGTTTTGTTTTGAAATCCAGTTGACATTGAACCTGTTGAATAAAGGTTTATATTAACTTTGAATTAAAAGTGTTTCTGATTTTATTGTATCCACACACAAGATAAGGCAAGACTTTTTTATGTCTTATTTCGCGAACTTATATTTAAAATTATCGTCAGAGGAAAACGGAAAATAAATAAAAGTTTGGCTATATGGGCGGAGGAGAAAATAAAACTAAAATTTCATTGATAATTAATTGATTGTTTTTGCTCCAAGAAAATAAAGTAAGGTGATACTCAACTTAAATTAATGTTATTAATGCATTTATTCAAAGAACTTTTATTAATGAATTAAACCGCAGGCCCGTAGCCAGGTCCTTCTAAGTTGGGGAGGGTTTTCTGGGCGTGAGGTCCACAGTCGAAGCCCCGGTGGGGTCGGCAAAACCCCCAAAGCAAGAGGATTTTTGTGCTTTATGGGTCTAAATAATGGGTCTGCAGTGCATTAGTTGGGTTGGAGGACTTATTTTGGAAATTTAAAGAGGAGGGTTCGCCATAAAAGAGGGGGGTTTGCTAGAAAAGGGGGTTCTCCCCAACCATAAAAACCCCTTCTGGATACGGGCCTGAACCGTTTAGTAATGCGATTGCTAAGTTCTTTAAATTTATATAATTAAGGAAGAAATATGTATATCAGGGGATCAGAGGGCGTAATGAAATCAGATTTCCATATTTCGTTACAGAAGGTGTGCTAACTCTCCAAAAATAAGATTTTATTTTTCTTCAAAATCACATTTTTTTTTGTTAAACAAGGTATAAAAAAGTCTTACCTAAACTGACTGACTGTCTGTCTGTCTGTCTGTTAGCAGGATTACACAAAAACTAAGAATTAGATGATCATTCAATTTAGTGGAATGGCACATAATGATCTAAAAAAAATGATTCTTTTTTAGAAATAGGACAAGATCAAGGTAACAGAAATCATTTTTTTCTACGGAGCATATATTTTAGCATAGAGCGGATGTAGGCCCATATTTTATGTAGGGCAGCTTGTGTTTTTATTTTGTAATTCATTCTGTTGTTTTAGGTATTTACGCTTTAGGTTGAAATGCTAAAAAATTAAAAATTAAAAAAAAAGAAAAGAAAAGAAGAATTAGAGATTTTTTTAACATTATATTTTGGTTTTTTTTCTATAATTCATATGTGTTGTTAAATAATTGTGTATAGAAGAGACAAAAACTTCACAACCGAACCTGTGATCATAATAAAAGTAGGGCGGTGACGATGACGACGATGATGACAATGATGATGACGATGATGATGAGAATGGTGGTGGTGGTGGTAATGATTTCAAAGACATTTACTCCTAGACTATCCAGCAGATCTTTCCTACCATCTTGTTTGTAATCTCTGAAGTACAAATCTAGGGCAAAAGGATACCGCTTACGCCTGATGGTCACCGCATTGCACTTCGATGACCTGTATGTTACCCTCTATTTTCCAGCTCATCTTCATAAGATGATGAATGTCTTTGTTTTTTCTGGCTGATTGTTTTATGCCATTCCCACTAGATGGGATCTCAGAATACAGAATTGTTGAGTCATTGGTCATATGGTGAAGTATGGGGTTTTGCCTAGAACTTGGCGGGGTCAAAGAGGAGAGCCGGTTGGATCACAGCCTCTGGTACTGAGGGCGTTGTATAGGTGGTTCCGATAAATTAGTGTAAAGATTTAAGATTCCTTTATTATAGGATTTATAAAAGACAGACATGCCAACTCACCCGATCCTGTCAGGTGTCACCCGATATTTAAACAAATCTCCAGTTCTCCCGATCGAATGTAATTTTCACCCGATTTCACAGGCCACCCCCACCCCCAAAATACTCCGGTTTATGCATAATTTGATTGATTTGATCGCTTCGCGGTGTAATAAACAAGTAGTCATTTTCAATTCGAATTCCAATGTTTTGTAGTGACGTGACTTTTTTGGTATCTTGCATCTTTTGGTTAATTCTAGAAACCGCCAGATTTTTTGGTAAATCTCCAGATTTTTTTAAAATTCTTAAAAAAAATCTCCAGATTTTCATGACCCAAGGGTTGGCAGGTCTGAACAGAAAATAATTCTATATTCGATACATTTCCGATTGTCTTAAATAACGTGGAGCTTTCGCGATATTGGGGGTAAAGAGGCTACTTACGCACCCATCGCACCCCTCTGATACGCCCCTTTGCTTAAAGGTACAGTTCATTCTCACATTCATCTGACATGTTATTTACGAACACGGTGAACAGTAGAGAACCTACTAATAATAACAAGGAAATAACATGTATAATGTGCCTATTATAAACTGTAACAAATCTGTCCTCGGATGACTAACTTATTGTTCAATTGCAATGATACGAACCTCTTCTCCTCCAGTGCATGTTGTCCTGGAGCTGACCCTTAACCAATACTTCCATTATTTTTCTAATGTTATTGAGAATTGAAATAGGTCTTTACATAGTGGAATCAGATTTGGAATTATTCTTATGCACAGGAACAACAATAGCTAACCTCAACTTATTCGAAAAGTGCCTTTGGGGAAACAGGTATTTAAATGCCGACAGAGGGGGGGCTGACAATTTCAAAGCAGTATCAGTGACGACGCCAGAATTTGAACGACGGGGTGATAAGGTGGTCAAACGGGGAAGGGGAGGTCTGACAATTTCCATGGCAAAGGCCTGGTGGGGCCCACGCTGCTCAAATTATAACATTCACAAAACGTCGATCTCACATCACCCCTGTTCTGCGAGAACTCCATTGACTTCCCATTGATTCCCGCATTAGGTTTAAGATCTTGCTACTTACTTTTAAAGCACTTCTATTTAAGCAACCTATCTATATAGGTAAATACAGAGATCCCAAATGGAAGATACAGGGAATGTTAGGTATGACCCTAGGATGAGGTGATTAGTTTTAGTGACCATAAGGAGTAGGGTGTGGATTTGAGAACCATTTAAAGGAAAATGTCATAGACGGGATATTTCAAAAAATAATCAACCTATCTCAATGAAACTTCCGTGAAAGTGAGCAACCTTGAAGAAAAAATCTTAGTGACGATCCAAATGCTGGTGTGCATTTGAGGGTCATTTAAAAATCCTAATGTCCCAGGTAAAAATAATCAGTGGCTCTTAATGACACTACCCAGAATAGTTTGCCATGTTTCATGTTTGATGAAATTATCAATTAGGAATTTAACATATGAGACTAACCTATTACCTTTTTTAGTGACATATTCAATATGTGTATGATATGTTTATATACCGTAAGTTTCGTGAAATATAGACTCCAAGGTATTGATAATTATTTGTTTCGATAATATAATGATTTTCAAGAGACCCTCGTTTAAATTTTTTAATTCTTTAAAAAAAAATAATGACTTTTCAATTTTTCGTAATTAAAATTGATTTTTCCAATCATCAGAAAAATCTCCTGCTATTTGAAGCATTTTCTTAAGGTCATGTTCACTATTGACGATCAGGACGATATCATCAGCCTAGAAAAGCCTACCTGCCCATTGACCGTTGATTTTAACCCCAACATTGTTTGACTGAAAAACCTTTCTGAGTTCATTCATAAATATTCGAAAAAGTGTAGGAGATAGGGTACATCCATGTTTGACATCCTTTTCAATTAAAGATGAATCAGTGGAAATATCCCCAAACCGTACTTGGCCTTCAACATTTTGATACAATTTATCAATGAGTCTCCAAGCTTTGCCTTTTATTCTGGTATTCCAGACTGCCTTCAATAAGCCGTTTGTCCATACACTATCATGCCTTTCGAAAATCCAGGAAGACCTTATAGTTTTATCCTCTGTCAATCTGCAAGCAGCAATCATTTTTAAAGTTGAAATATAGTCCTCACATCTATGCTGAGACCGATAGCCTCACTGCACTTCCGAAAGTACATTTTCCTCTTCCAGAAAATTATTTACTGAAAAAGCAATAATTTTATTGAAAGATAAGATAAGATAAGATAAGATAACTTTATTGTTCCACAAGGGAAATTCTTATATTAAAAAATGTAAAACAAATATAAAAACATACAAAACAGTCACTATAGAAAATATAACAATTTACAAGTAAAATACAATGACTATCATCGATAAAAAATTGAATTATATTTATGATTATTTTTATTCTTATTATTATTATTATTATTATTATTATTATTATTATTATTATTATTATTATTATTATTATTATTATTATTATAATTATTATTATTATTATTATTATTATTATTATTATTATTATTATCGTAATTAATACAGTTAAAATTATTATTGATATTATTATATTAATAATGAATTATCTTCTAAACCCCTTGTTGAACTGGGTGATGCCGGAGGGGATAAATGACTTCGCATAACGGTTTGTTTTTGCTCCGAGTAGCCTCATTCTACCACTTGGATTAAGTTGGTTAATAATAGCATAATGGAGTGGATGAGAGGTATATAACTCAATACGATGGAAGGTGTTCTGATACACCCCATAATGGAGGGCAACTGTAGACCAATCATTTTACAAGCCTGACGGATGAAAGTGTCAATACGTCCTTTATCCACTCGGGCAGCATTACCAGCCCAACAAGCAAGGCAATATGTCAAAACACTACAAACAACAGATCTATAAAAAGAAAGCAACATAGGTTCACTGAAATTAAATTTAAATAGAATTCTTAAACAATACATTCTAGGATTTAATTTTTTACACAGGAAGTCAATATGGTCACTCCAGCTCAATCAATTGTTAAAAACAATGCCCAGATATTTATAATTATCAATTATTTCTATTTCTTCTCCTTTTATGGTTATTGGTTGAAATTGAAATTTATGTTTGGTTTTAAAGTCAATAATCATCTCCTTTGTTTTTGTAGTGTTAATTTGTAGGTAATTATTGTCGCAAAATTCAACAAACCTTTTTATTTCGTTACGATAATGTGTGTCGTTATCTGAGATAATGAGGCCGATTGTGCTGGTATCATCAGCGAATTTTACAACTGGGCAAAGCTCACTAGATGATCTATTTTCAGCAGTACACAATGAATATAACTTAGGCGCTTTAACTGTACCGTGAGAGACACCCGTATCAGAGGTAAGAATTTCGGATTCAACTTCATTTATTTTTACAAATTGTTTCCTATCACAAATAAAATTTAAAATTAAACGTACAATTGGACGGGGGAACTGCATATCCAACATTTTTCTCGCAAGAACATGGGGCTGTATAATATTGAATGCCGACTGAAAGTCAAAATACATGATACGTGCAGAATGGCCTTTATTTGTATTATCAAGATGTGAGTATAGACTGTGTAATTTATGGAGTATAGCATCGCTGGTACTCCGTGATGATCGATAAGCGAATTGCAATGGATCTAAAACCTTTTCCACATAGGGTTCCATAATTCTTAAAATAATACGTTCCAAAGTTTTCATAACAACAGAGGTAAGCGCAACGGGCCTTAGATCATTAATACATGTAATTTTTGGTTTTTTTGGTACCGGTATTATGCATGAAATTTTCCAGAGATCAGGGAATGTATGATTTAAGAGACAAAGATTAAAAATATAAAGTAAAAATACCATCAAGATGAGGAGAGGAGGCCTTAAATACTCGTGGTGGGATCTGGTCTGGACCAGCAGCCTTCGATGGATTGAGTTTCATGAATTCATTATGAACATCAGAAATACTAACAATGAATTTAGGGTCCTCTTCAGTGACCTGACATGAGTTCAACAAGGACCTCCTCTCTTCCTTAAAATCATAACCATTAAAACGATTATAAAATTCATTTAGCTCATTTACATATTGCACTGCTACATTTGGAATTGGGGTAGGTATATTACCACCATTTGTGTAGCCACTCATTAGTTTCATACCCTGCCAGACCTTTTCCATATTGTTTGACTTAAAGTTTTGTTCGACTTTTTTCTTAAATATATTCTTCTGTTTCTTAATTTCAGATTTAATCTCACTAGTCAGTCTTTTCATACGATTGGTATCACCCAGCTTAAATGCTTGCCGTTTCTCACACAAAAGTAATTTGACAGCTTTTGTTATCCAAGATTTGTTATTAGGATAAATTTTAACTGTTTTTACTGGCACGCATTTCTCAATACAAAAGTTTATGTAGGCGCTCACTGCGTTTGTGATACCATTCAAATCTTCTTTATCAGTAAAAATATTCCAATCGGTTGTTCCAAACTCTCTTACTAGGGCTTCTTCAGCTTCGGGTGACCACTTGCGAACTTTAATCATTTTTGGCTCGCATGTTTTTATAAGTGGACGGTACCTAGGGCTAAGTAAAACCAAATTATGATCGGAGTGTGGCGACGAAGTATAGGCATCTTTCACATTTGAAAAGCATAAATCAAGAATCGTATTGTCTCTTGTTTTACATGTAACATGTTGATAATATGTGACCGTTGTTTTCTTGAGTTTACACCTGTTGAAGTCGCCATTTATAAGTACTAACGCTTCAGAATTCGAACATTCAATGTCCTGAATTATTTCAGCAACCTCATTTATTGCAACTTTTTTTCTGGTATATATACCAAAAAAACATTAATGACATGCGAGAATTCCCTCGGCAAGTAATAGGGTCGAATACTAACCACCAGTACTTCAGAATATGGCGTACATTTGTGGAGCTTGAGCGTAGAATTATTTGGGTGACAGTACTTCTAATTAATATAGAGGCAAAGACCTATACCGCCATTTTTATTCGCATCAGGGGTGCGATCTCCACGAACAGATTTAAATCCAACTACCTGGATGTATTGGTCACTGTGCTTATCAATCAGGTGCGTTTCGGTGAATGCTATTAAACTGACATTTCTAAAATCACTGAAGTGTTCCACATTTGCTCTAAGTAAATCGATTTTGTTGTTCAATGATCTAACATTTCCAAGTACTAAAGATGGTATAAATGGCTTACACTTCCTTCGTTGAAGTCTTTTTCTGACTCCTCCAGCCTTACCCCTCTTCCTAATCCTAGGCTTATGACGCTGAATCTCAGGTGGTAAAGTTCACATGTGCTGGTAGTCGCACCGATGACCTCTCGCCTATGGAATGTAGTTCAAAAGACGTGTAAGCAATGCCCTTACTTGGCTTACACAGACCAGCCCTTAAAAACAGCCAAAACAGCATCAAAGGATAGACAAATTCCACAACCTTCAAGTACATCATAAAGAATAAACCACAAAAATCACTTTCACAATTCAGAAATTCGAACACAACGAAATTCAGTCCAAAATTAAAACACCTAACAGACGAGCGTTGTCGCCGTGTTGCACAGCGCCAAAATTCTAGATACACATGAGGTCAAGGATATTCCTCTGTAATTATCTAAATCTTATCTACTGCCTTTTTTAAATATAGAAATAATAATAGATTTATTCCATTCAGTTGGAATTTCCTTCAACTGCATAATTTGTTGAAACATGAAAAAGTGATAACTCCAAATAATCGCCACCATTCTTCAAAGGTTTATTTGTGATACATCCTGGCCTGGCGCCTTTTTATTTTTGGCTTGTGCCAGAGCAAGTGAAACAATATCTTTACTTAATTCAATATCTTGTAATAAGTTAAGATCGATGCCAACAGTAGGCTCAGTTGTAGTGTCTGTTAGACTTAAATCATTACGAATATTCTGAATAATATAGAGGTATTAAATGATATGCAATCAGATATATTCACATGCCTTTTTTTTTGTTTCCCAATATTTTTTTTACTGATTAATTAGGTTTATTTTTTCGATAATAATTTCATTTGACAAGGGTGATTTTATACAATTGACAGCTTGATCTTTATGTTTTTGACCTCTAAGAGTCTCCCAGAAATCCTTACAACTTGGTCCAGCTTTATTTGCAATTATGATTGATTTATCAACCCTTCTTTCACTATTTTTTTTTGGTATTACTAAAGATTTAGCATATGTACGCTTATTCAGATAATTTTTTTTTTTACAAATTCACTAGTTGCTTCGTCTTTGTCATTTCTTTTAAGATACTTCCTGTGTATTCGTGAAGCAATTTTCCTACACTTAATTGCATTATAAATCTATTTCTCAAACCATGGTTTACGTTTTTTGTTAATTACTCTTCTCCCAATCCTCCTTTCGGCAGCTAAAATAACAATTGGTTTCCATGATTTCCAAATTTCATTGACATTTTCAAGTTGGGTAACATCCCAATTTTCAAAGCCTTTTCGAAGCTCACTGCTTTTAGTAAAAATCATGGTCATTATTTACATTCCAAATTATAGGTTTATATTCTATTTTCCTTTCACATGGATCTGGTATGACGATAGTATTATTTAGAGTTAAAACGATCATGTTATGATCATTACCGACACTAAAATCTTTCAATTCATCTACATATTAGCTTCTCAACTTGATTGATAAGGAATTTAAAAGAGGGCATATAATCGACAGTGCTAGTTTGCGGCACCTTTCACCTATGTTTTTTCCCTTCACAAAAAATGGTACGATTTAAAATTGTCAAACCAGAGTTTTCACTAAATTCAAGTAATTTGTTTCCATTTGAGTTTAAGATAGTATCACCACCAATAATTGCATTGCCTATTCGACCATTGAAGTCACCCATTATAAGGATAGATGGTGCCTCTTCATCATTACCTTGAGTACGGTGCTCGTAATACAAGGGACGGAAATAATATTGTACTATCTATATGCCAATAGTAATGCCTGTGATGCGTTATTTCTTACGATCATTTAAACTACTGTATTTAATCAAAAATTCCCAAGAACTCTACTAGGGATTTTTATTCTGGGACCCGTTGGTTTGGACCCCCTGGCGGGCACGTCAGACCAGTTGTCGGCAAATTCCTGGAGCAACCACTGGCAGAAAGCCAGCCAACTAGCATGTCGATCTGCTTCTGCTACTACCGGACTTGCAGACACAGGCAACTGTGACGCTCACATTGGCGGCTTGGTACTCGACCATTCCGTTTGTACAATTTCTTTCATATAGAACGGGAACCGGATATTTGACCTAAAAACGAAATTGTATAAAATAAGTGAAGGTTTTTTCCTTTTTTTTTTAATTGAATGCAATCAACCGTGGTGTTTATTTAAAAACAAATTTCATTGTATATCCATCAATATGCCAACATATGTTAGGCTATTTATACCTCTATTAAAAATGAAATTTAGCACCAGTGCGTCTTTATATCCGCAAAGTAATGACTAGGGTATTTTTGTCTTGTCTTTGAATGGTCAACGCATCATAGACTCACAAGTTATGCGCATAACACAACCACTTCAGTCCCATAACCTCATTAAACTTGGGCCATGTTGGACAACAGTGGATTTCCATTGCGTACGTTACCCAGTATAAAGAACATGAATTTAATTTCATTTAAGCCTATATACAGGTAATTGTATATATTGCTGTCTAGCATTCTTTGCACAGATAGAAAATACAAGAATTGGACTGTTACAAACATACATACATATAAATATAATCGTATCAAGCATAGCCCTTCAAATTTTCCTTACTTTCAGTTGTACAAGCAGAATGTCTGGTGGGATTCTAACCTGCAACCTCTCACTATCAAGGCGAGTATCTCACCATTAGACCACGAAGACCTTACAGTATATACGCATATCTAATGCAATATTCACCCTACCTGATGACAGGAGAACGTGGCGGGGTCCAATCTCTCTTCTGATCCATCATTCATCTTTTTACATTCTGTACAATTACAGTGGATTTGTTTCAATGTAACCGGGATTCGACCTGGATTATAATCATAGCTTTCAGTGTAGGGGCACAGACGTTTTCTGCCCAGTAATTCGCTACTGCCGGTAGGTGGTTGTTGATTTGCATGGGCGTTACCTGTCTGGAAGGCTGCAATGGAAAGTCTGCTGCCACTTTGCCAGTTGGCTGCTGCTGTAGAGTCAGCATTACAAGACGCTGATGACTCCACGTAACTGCTACTGCATACAAGGACCAGTAAGAACATTTTCTACAATAGAACGATCGTAATGATTATAACAATATGCATTAACATTCGCTGAGAATATGGGGCAATAGCTTGAAGAATTCTTTACCAATTTTACCTATCTGAGCGTAATTTAAGGATATACAAATCGTTTTACTGTATTTTTTAAACAGAGCACTTTACCTAATATCAGACGTGTGATATGTTGTGCAGCTAATTTTGCAAAAAGGTGTCTGTTTGATTAAAACAAAATAATAATTATAATACTGTATTTAAAAACTAGCGGAGAAAGGTTGAAAGGGGGTCGTTACGCCCATTTCCCCATGTTATTAAATATTCAAAAGTCTATATCTAATTAACCTAATCTAATTTTTTTTGTGGAACTAACTTTTAGTGACTTAATAGAAAATGATAGGTTGTACAACATATCAAATAGGTTTTTACTCCGGAGCTTCTTGTCACACCTTCAAAGAATCAACTTTTTTAAATGGTACAATTTCATCACAATAATGTTATTCTGTTGATGTATGAGAAAATATATAATTGATAGGCGCGGCCTAGTATAATCAGACAAATTATTATATAATAAATAACTAAGATAGGTAGTATTGGGAACTAAATAAAGTTGTTTGTCACAGGAAAACAATTCGATAAAATTACTACGAGAACTAGGGGGAAAAAACAATGCACGTAGGGCTACGCTTATGAGCATTATAAACATTAAACAGTTCTACAACTCCATTCTCCTTATGAAAACAGTACTCATTCCTAAATAAAAGCGCAGATGCAAAAAATCGAAAGAAATAGGCCTATGTAAAGAGTTTGCTTATCATTTTAAAAATTCAGATATTCAGATTAAGTCTACCTTAAACAAAGTTTCCATAGTTTCTGTTTGCCTCCAATCGGGGAAAAATATGTAGCCTGAATATTATGGTTTAGTTAGTAAAACCAGATGTTGATGCGCCTAAAGATGTAAAGTTAATGATTTTGAGTGGAAAAAATCCGAACTTTATACTATACGGTATAAAAGCCTCCGTCGTCACCTCTTTATCTTATCTATTAATATGACTATCATCATCTTCATCACGATCATCATTTCTAATACCATTACATAGAAAACGGGGGAAAATTTTGATTCTTTCGAGTTTTTTCAAGATAACATTCGCCGGATTTCAAAATTTAATGACGATTGCAAAAATACTGCAATTCTATGCTCATACCGAATCTGCCTATACAGCAAGGGGGAAAGTGTGACAAATGACAGATATTATACTTATAAGGGTTGCGGTCTACAAATCCTGAATATGGAAATTATAAAAATCCCATTGCAAAAGTTATCCGATATTATATAAACGGGATATTATTTAGTATAACACGTGACATTTAATTATAAGATTTGTATCTCTAAATGTTTTATTCCCTTCAGTATTTTACATGCCATAGTATTGTTATGCAAAAGGAAGCGGCTTATCATTGATTGTTATCGTCACCACCAGACCATGGCACATTCGCCGGTGCCCAATATATCAACCATCAATAGATATTTACGTAATATGTGCGAATGTTTGCAATTTAACCTATTATCTTTGAACAAAATATTTTATATTATATAACTGTTTATGTTTTTAAAACATCTAACGAATTACAATGAACAAATTATAGTCATTGTGATATTTTTTTCAATTTTGATAAATAGTTACTCCTATTAAAAAGCAAATCATGCAAGTCGGTTGATTCAAGCGAATTTTTACAATAAATATTGCAATACAAACGGACATAAACATAATCACATTACCACACCTAGTTAGTTATGTAATTATTCAGTGTGTCCAACGTCCACTTCTTATATTGTTAGAAATATATAATTTATAATATATATAAATTAATATATAGTAATTAAGGCCAAATACTGGTAAACAACAATGATGTGGGAAACAATGTCTGGATATCAGAAAAATAGAGATATAAATTAAATAATTAAAACACGTTTTGCTTATCAAGTTTAAGGTAATAGAAGTTATTATATAGAACCTGGGCTTTGGGTAACACTAGTCTTTCCTCAGTGGCGAGGATAAATTTGACAATTATATTCGTTGACATAATAGAAACATAACGTTTTATTTAAGAGACATAGGCCTACGTGTAAATAACTTTATTATTTACATACACCCCCCTCCCCCACCACACACAACCAAACTTACTCAGCTGGAAACCTCCTGGCGGAGATAATAATGATGATGATGGTGACGATGATACGATGATTATGATAAAGATGATGATGATGATGATGATGATGATGATGATGATGATGGTAATGATTTGAACTACTGTTACACCTACAATATCCAACTAATCTTTCCCATCATTTTGTACTCTCTGAAGTAAATCCAAGGCTGAAAGATACCGCTTACGCCGCCAGATGGTCACCGCATTGCACTTGATGGCCTGTATGTTTAAGCTTTTTTGGGACATTTTACGCGGTTCTGAGACGTTTTAGAACGCATTTTAATCCATACAAAACAAAAATTTACATGGTTCATGATATGATGTTAATCTCGGGTCGCCTGTTCTATATTCTCAATGTTTTATAAAAAAAAAATCAATGACTTAATAATTTTAAATAATTGAACAATTGTCTTGTACAGATTGTTATATAGTAAATGATTTAATAATTTTGAATGATTATATAAGTTATATAGTAAATTTTATTATATATACATATATAATAATAATAATAATAATAATAATAATAATAACAATAATAATAATAATTCGTTCTACGTATATCTCTTAAATAAAATGTTATGTATCCATCATGGCAACGTATGTAATTGTTCCTCGCCACTGAGGAAAGACGTGTTACCCGAAAGCCCTGGTTCTATACATTACCTTAAATTACCATAAAATTGATAAGCAAAACATGTTTTAGCTTATTTATTTTGTATCTCTATTTTTACTGAGATCCAGACATTGTTTCGCACATCATTGTTGTTTACCAGTATTTGGCCTTTTAATATATATTATTTATATATAAACCTATTATAAATTTTATATTGTTAACAATATAATAAGTTGGACGTTGAACACACTGAATAATTATATACCGGTAATTAACTAGGTCTGGTAATGGGATTATTTTATATCTGTTTGTATTGCAATTTGTATGGTTAAAAATTCGTTTAAATCAACCGTCATGCATAATGTGCTTTTGATGGGAGTAACATTTTTTTTAATTATAAACAAAAATCGCAATGACTAAAATTTGGTCATTGTAATTCGCTAAATTATTCAAAAACATAAACGTTTATATAATATAAATAACTTGTTTAAAGACAATTGCATACACTAACACATATTACGTAAATTCCCGTTGATGGTTCGAGATCGGACACCGGTGAATGTGCCATGGTCTGGTGGTGAAGTTAACAATCAATGATAAGCCGCTTCCTATTGCATAACAATACTATGGAATGTCAAATACTGAAAGGAATAAAACGTTGAAATAAAAATATTATAATAAATGTCACGTGTTATACTAAATAATATTCCGTTTATACCGTATAATATCGGATAACTTTTGCAATGGGATTTTTATGATTTCCATATTCAGGGTTTGTAGACCGCAACCTTTATAGTATAATATCTGTCATTAGAAATGGGATTTAAAACTTTCCCCTTTAAATTCAGATTATATACATCAAATTGATGTATAGGCAGATTGGGTATACATCATGTAAATTACATATATTTGCCATCGTCAATAAAATTTGAAATCCGGCGAATGCAATCTTGGAAAAAAAAATCAAAAGAATCAGAATTTTTCCCCGATGATGATAATGAAGATGATGATAGTCATATTAATAGATAACGCAAAGAGACGATAGAGGCTTTCATACCGTTTGGTATAAACTTCGGATTTGTTTCACTCAAAATCATTAACTTTACATCTTTAGGCGCATCAACATCTGGTTTTATTAACTAAAACCATAATATACAGGCTACGTATTTTTTCCCTGATTGGAGGCAAACAGAAACTATGGAAACTTTGTTTAAGGTAGACCTAATCTTTAACTTTTTAAAATAACAAAACTCTTTACATATTTCTCATGATTTTTTATCATTTACAAAAATTTAGGAATGAGTACTGTTTTAAGGAGAATGAAGTTGTAGAACTGTTTAATGTTTATAATGCTCATAAGCGTAGCCCTACGTGCATTGTTTTTTTCCCTAGTTCTCGTAGTAATTTTATCGAATGGTTTTCACTGTGGCAAGAAACTTCATTTAGTTCCTAATACTTAGTTAGGAATACTAAAATCTTAGTTATTTTTTATATGATAATTTGTCTGATGTTATTATTCGTAAAACATGTCATGCTCTGTGTATTAGACTAAAGATTTTGATTTATATCGAGAAAAGTGCAATGTAAATAATTATTTGTTAATAATAATAATAATAATAATAATAATAATAATAATAATAATAATAATAGTGTAGTTTTATATAGCGCACATATCCATCTAATTTAAGATGCTCAGGACGCTTGATATGTGGACTAGGAACTCGATCAATGACTTTCTTCGCCCCTAAGGGTCCCTTCGTGTCTGTGCTACCCGGTAACCCGGTACCAGCAACTCTCGTCGTCCACCACAGGGGCTGTCTGTTCCAGTACACGGGGTATCCCCATACTCGTCTCGAAGAATGTACTGTTAAGTTTGTAGTCACAATCTAGTAAAAAAATTTCAAGTATAGAACTACTGATACGAGGCCGTGCATACCAATTAAATATTTTCTTATACATTACCAAAAAACATTGTTATGAAATTCTACCGGCCCCATGAAAAAATGTTGATTGTTTGAAAATGACAACAATTATTTGCGTATATTACCGTACTTCAATATCAGGTTCCGGAATAAAAACTTGTCCGATATGTTGTACAACTGATGATTTTCTAAGACACTAAAAGGGAGGAAAACCCGGGAACGGTTGATGAGATACGGTACAGTTTTTCTCAATATTTAAAAACATTGGAAAATCTGTATCCTCTAATTAACCGATAGGCCTACCGTTTTTTTTTGGTTTTTTTTTTTGGTTTTTTTTCCCTTTTTTTTTTTTTTTTTTTTTTTTATTTCTTTTTGTTTGTTATTTCTTTTATCAGACACCTTTTGCAAAATTAGCTACACAACATATCACACGCCTGAAATTAGAAAAAAAGTTCTCGTAATCTTGAAAGCTCCGATGAGGGCAGTATAATAGAGGCAGTAGAGTATATTGGCCCTAACGAACGCCCATACAAATAAAAGATCTATTAATCAACCAGCCGAGTGTCTCCAGAGCTCTTGAGGCAGTACAGAATATTGGCTTTAACGGCCGCCTATACGAAAAAGATCTATTATTCAATCAGCCGTGTTTTTCGGTGGCGGGGTGCGTGAGAGTCTATACCAAGTCAGTCCCACCATGGCTGGGGCTAAGATGAGAAAATGGACCTTTGGGTCACTCTCATACATTTAAAATCTTACCGGTAATTAATATCAACAATACAATTACAGTACAATGTCTTAATACAATTTAGAGGAGTACAATCGCACCGTCTGTACACC